TTATCCCTACTGGTGCCCCTCGTCTCTCTGGCTCTCGCCGCTCTGCATCCATACTCTTCTGGCGCACGCTCTGTGCGAATATAGTGCAGCGCAGAGTATAATCAATATTCTCCCCTCTCCCCCAGCACATGTCGTTGGGGGCATTTCGCAAGAGTGGGGGAGCGAAGATATGTCTCCCTCGAGAGGAAGTATAGCATTTGGCCCCTGGTCTTTGATCATCTGCAGAATGTCGGCTTTCGAATACTCTCTATTCGTTCTAAGGAGTGTGAAACTTTGAAAAATAAGAAGGAAGACTTTGAGGGAAGAACGTATCCGTCCTCCTGCTTCAAGCGGTGTAGGTGGGCATGGCTCTCAAAGATATCAGAGTAGGAGTCTTAGATGGCCTTCTCCATCGCTCTGGAATGTTGACAGTTCCGTCCTGACTTCGAAGGCCGATCATCTTCGTCTACAGTTGGCCGTAGCGACGAGCGTTGCGGATGCTTTTTCCTGGAATCTGCTGCTTCCACAAGTACTTGCGCTCCTCTCATTGAGATCTCTTTTTTGCTTCTCTGCATAGCTACACAAGCTCAGACGATAAGTGGTAGTCGTGTGCGGTTTCAGGCTGGCAAATCAGCTCGAGTTTTCCCTGATTGAAAATTTTTTGAAAACCTTGAAATTCCCTGTTTTCTATCGCAGTCGTGAAGATGTTCAACAGGCAGCTCCTATTCCTCTATGGTGTCAATAGCGCATCTCCCCAAACTCCTGCAAGAAAAATGAAGAGCTCCCAGTTGATGTAGTTAACTTTCGGGGCTCCGCTTCCGGAACGTTGTGTCTACAGACAGGATCATAACTGATCACAACTGTCTACATTTAAAAATCGCAAAATGTGGTCGCTTGCCAGCTTCCACAATTAATAGAGAATGATCTGTTTCCGCGCCAAACCCATCCCCTCCGAGACGCCCCAGCATTTGCAGCTGGCGAGGCTATACTCCAGTACGTAAGCAAACAACCTGGGTCCGCAATCACCGAGAACTTGCTCTTTTCTCAGTTCAAAAGTGCACAAGAAGGGGCTTACGAGCATGTCGCTTTCCCTACGGTATATCAGAGTCGATGTCCCCGCCCCGCGTGCATTTTGTTCCAACCCCGTTCGTGTCTGGTCTCTCGCCCACACGCGCAGTCTCTCTTCGCCGAAACCCTTATACTCGAAATCATTTGTTGAAGAAAGATTCTTATTTAGGAGGCTTTTTCGTTAATTTCTCCAGTGGTGAGCCATTTAGCACCTTTAAATTGATTTGCTTATTAGAAGTGACCATGACATGACGCAGTCTTCAAATACGTCATTTGCAGGAGGTCTTCGTCACCCAGGATGATCCTGTTACAAGACTAGAACTACTGCGAAGGCGTTATCCTCCGAAACTGAAGCACAAACCGCTAAGACTACGCGTTTGGCGACATCCTTCGAGTATCGTTATGGAAATCAGTGTGGCTGAAGTCCCACTTTTAACTAGCAAAAATTAAGCCTAGTCATCCCGCATCAATGCTTTGTTCATCATCCTATCATTCAGTCCTTTGTTTGTTTTCGCGGTGCATTGCTGTCAATACACAATGATATTGGAGGGGAGATTTCTTCCGTTCACATATCAATACTTGAAAATTTGCTTACAGACGTCACTCAGTCCCTGAATACGAATATGTCATTCAAATTTGGTGCCCAGCGGAATCTAGCATTTTTGCCTTTTTTTCCTACATTTTTTTCTCTGAAGGCAAGACATTCCTGCGCACTAGGGTTATTTGAGGCGTTGTCACGAGTAGGATATTCATATTTAGCGCTGGTTCAGTTTGTGCCGGATCGTGGCTAGCGACAACTTTGCGTCGCCACACCGGACTTGTTCTGAGCACTCATTTAGGCTGCGTTCTTACTTTGCGGCAGCGCCCACCAGCGACCATCAGCGTTTCCGAGCGTTCGTCAGCGTCAGCGACTAGGAAAGTGTAGATATCGATCTAGCGAAAGGCGGCATCTAACAGCGTCTACCGGCATCCACCAGCGTAGGAGTATGTGGAAATAGGAGGGAGCAGGCCGCTGGACTAAGCGTCGTGAAATTGCAACTGTACCGTACTGCTACACAGTACTGTACTCCTGGTCGCTGGTGGACGCCGGCGGACGGCGCCGCAAAGTATGAACGCAGCCTTACTGGAAATCGAAAGGCATAAACATGACATGCATTACTGGCATCTGTGTTTAGAATGAATGCCTTATTGAAGACCACGGCCATTAATCACCCACAAATGTCGAAAGAATGCAGGATAAGGTGGAAAAAGTTGCCACGCGAAGAAGACTCTGAAGCCAGGGGAGCGATGACCGGAACGTCTTAGGCAGCGTTCATTACTCGCGACAGCGCAGCGATCGCGGCGACCTCGGAGATCGCCGCGATCGTCGGTACGTGGCAGAGCGCGGCGGCCCAACGCTATTATGGACCGCTCGCTTGATAAATAAGGGAATCCAACTTGTGAGGACTTCTTTTCTCTTAATAATGGCTACTAACTGATAACTTACGACTTTCTATACATAAGCGGATCTGGAATATGAGGAGGTTTCACTTCTTTTTAGGGTGATAAGGCCAACTCCACTTCCTGGGTGAGCTTCTTTTTGTTTCTTTTGTTTTTATTGTTTCAATTTATACAAGCGCCTTAAAAGTTCCTATCGTCTGAACTGTTCCAACTTCCAAAACATTTAGTTTACAAGTCGAGTTCAAACAACGAAGAAAAAAAGAAACAGAAAGAAACTCACCTAGGAACCAAAACACTAATCATTTTACGCAACATCAACAGGTGAAAAACTTTATAACCTCATGTATAAGCTCGACGAATGAAAAAAGAAACAATAAAAACCTACCCTAAATGAAGCTCTCACGCTTTTTGCTCATTTCTATCCTGAATCAAGAAAGAAAATAGAAAACAAAAGCCATTAAGTTGGGTTCACCTTTCTTTATGTCAAACCAAGCTTCAGTACCTAAGAAAATTGCAGTTTGAAGGAAAAAAAGCATGAAATTGAGTAGTCTCTCCCTAAAAGCCTTCAGAGCAGTCCAAGTAATAGCGTTGGGGCGCGCTCTGCCATGTACCGACGATCGCCGAGGTCGCCGCGATCGCCGCTGCTGTCGCGAAGTATGAACGCTGCCTCGGAAACATCAGAAGGACTACTGATTGCTGTTTGCATTGCTTTCGTTCAGTTACGGATTGACCTCGGCCATCTGTTTAGACAGCGTTCAGACTTCGCGACGGCAGCACTTCGGTCGCGCGATCCGGCTGTCGATGCGCATGCTTTCAACTACATCGATCGCGTCGAACGCGCGACCGAAGCGCTACCATCGCGAAGTCTGAACGCTGCTTTATCCTTTCTATTCTCTCCTATTCTTTACACTGTTCTCTCTTCTGCGCAACCAGTGATTTTACATCGATATCTGTTCCGAATCCTGGGGCTTCACTGAAGGCAAGTAGCCCGAATAAATCCCAAACGTGCAGGATTAATATGCCTAGCAAGGACAGAATTCGGCATCCTTGAGCAGGCCCTGCGTGGCGTTTTTCCCAGGAAAGGCGTCTAGCTGCGCCTTATCAATCTGCAACATATCGACACGCACGTCCCACCGCGCCCGCCCGCCCTTATAGGTACGACCGATGCTGCTGCTCCTATCGCTTCATTCGCGAAGTGAGATATGAAGCGAAGGGGATGATGTGAAGTGGCCTGCGGTGCTTGCATGGACACTGACTACATAACCTCCTCATCATTACGGACTGTCGGGGCGTATCGGCCAGAAGGAGTGCGCACACTGTTTGAAGCCGTTCTCAGCCTTTTCTTTGAAGCGCGTATGCGACAAAAAGTGGTAGAAAACGAGTAATACGAAGGATATAATGCTGTTATGTCATTCGATCGCCTTTCAACAACTGGTTGCAGAACAATACTTTGAACCGCGGAAAACGCCAGCCCGCCAGCTGGACCCGCCCGACAGTCCGTAATATATGAGGAGATATACATCGTGCTAGGACTACCGTAGCGCTTACTGGCACGATGTCAACGGGAAACTCGTTGGAAATCGCTTTTCCAGAGCAAAGGCTTTTCTGGAGGTTTTCGACCGTTCTACTCCGCCTTTTCGCCATTTTTCCGCTATGGCACCCCTGCTGCCATAGCAGACCGAGTACCAAATTATCGTGCATTATACTTTGAGAAGATTGTTGTATGGGCTTGATGGCCTGGAAACCTGTAGTAAGACTGGACGCTGGAGCATTACAGGAGGCTGGGTTTGGCGCGGCGCTAGCCCGCTCTCCATCAATTGTGTTCGCCTGCCATCTTCTACAACTGGTGTAGAGAAGGCTGGCGCCGCGCCAAGGCCACCCTTCTAGAACACCCCGGCGTATGCAACGAACAAGACTGTGGGCACAGACCGGGACATTCACGTCCTTACTCACTGTACCCTCTACTCCTTCTGTATCCTGATTCAATTTGTAGTCGATACAAGTTAGATGCCCCCGACTAGCGCTGGCTAACTGTCACACTATATGACAACTTACTGACATCAGTCAAGTAAAAAAAAAGACAAGCGAAGTGAAGTACATTTATTTGGTAAAAACCAACGAATAAATGGCGAGTAGTCGAGCAATAGTGACCTAGATTACATCTCTGTACTAAAATTTAATTTGATTTAATTTTTCAATCTTCAGCAAGAGCCTATAGACTTTGAGCAACGATCAAGGGAGTACATAACGCTCTTACCACGGGACGGATTGTTCGAAATTGTTTATAAAAGCGTTACATTACATAAAACCATACCCTGAACCCTATGACTGTCATCTGACTAAAACCAGCAATTCAGCGAAGAACAACATAACAACAATCTATCCATAATTGACCCCTAAAAAACTTAGGCAAGCTCATAACGAAACGGAAACCATCATCATACATTACAACAGAGTATTATGATAAGAAGAGATAAAGAGACGTAAAATTTAAGTGCAACCACCAAAGGTGCTTAATTCCGCCTCCCTTTCTTGTTCTTTGGCGGCGGTTGTGGCACTTTGATAGTAGCGTGCCCGGTTAATTTCAGATGATCAAATAATTTCGTCCGACTTTCGAAGACTTCCTTGCACTTGTGACAGAAGCTGACTTTTGGACCAGTATCTACTGGAACCGTCGGAAGTTTAGCTGCAGGATCTGGATTCTTCTTTTCTGCTGAAAACAACGTGGTCATGCAAAGTGATGAGACTTCGTTGACAACCAAGAGCACCCAAAAAAATACCAACTTCGAAAAGTATCTCTCACCCCTTCGTTTCTTTTTCTCCGATTGCTTTGCTGCAGCAAGGAATATATTAGTTTCATTGTCGGAAGCATCATTCTCTTCTTCCACAGAAGCTTCTGCCAATTTTTCACTGAGTCCGTTCATTGCATCTGCATCAGTACTTCTGCAAAATAAACACGAAAAATAAAGAAATCGGATTTACGCTGATGGCATAAGCCCATAGCAGCCACTTTAGCAGTATTCTTTTCTAGGACATGAGTGGAAGACTGCTCAAGCTATAGCCCTTTTAGGTTCAATAGAGTACCACGCCCATATACACAAAAAGATACTAGACAAGCATGGACCTGAGCTTACTTGAGAAGGGATGCTCGTTGTAGGGACGACTAGCTATCAACCATGCCCCGCCCACAGTGGGCGGATCTTCGCACTTCTCAAACTTACTGAACTCAGATCTTCCTCTTTTACACCAATTTCTTTCCGACTCCTGGATCTCTCAGGACCGAGTCATGAATTTTGCGGGGAGCGCCACCCACGTAATGGATTCTCCGCCCACTCCGGATATTGCCCCCTCCCCGCTATTTCATTTCATCTTCATTTATTGTCGACCATTATTCAGTTTTCCCGAACCTTTCCTGTACTGTGTCGCATAAATTTTCCTGTGCTCGGCGTGAGTCATCCGTGCTCTGTTTATCTTGGCCCATGCCCCGCCCAATGCACACCTGACTCCGCGCAGGTAATACCCCATTTTGGGGATAAATAGACGTAGCAATTATGTATTGGCAAGGACTAAATAACAATTCTTCTTACGTTTTAGCTTCATCTTCTTTTGGACTTTCTCCTGCATCGCCTGCTTCCGCATCACTCTCCTCATCCCATACCATTTTCTTCTTTGCTCTTCGTTTTGCCTTTTTGCCCTTTCTATCTTCAGGTTTCTGCGGAGAGAGCTCAGCAGCCGCGGCTTCCTGTTCTTCTGAAAATTTTCAAAAAAAGCTCTAAAAAGGGTTCCTATGCTGCTAACCCCATTCAAATACTGCCAGCCGTCCAAATTTTGAACGAAGCCCCAGTACCTTAGACAATGTAGGGGGAACAAATAAAAGAGTCCACTAAAAATTCACCTAAGAATTCTCCAAAGGAAACTTCTGTGACTCATATAATAGCAAGAGAAGATAAAAAATTAAATAAAAGTGAAACGCACCAAAGAGTGCATGGTCCTCTTCTTTCATATGTTTCTTCAGCTCAGCAAGCTGCTTTCGATGCTGTTTTGAGTTCTCGTGGTTAATTTTTGCATTCCTGGTAGTATTACCGTTCACGCTACACGGCTAGAGTTCATCTAATACAGTATCCAAAAACTTACAAAGTTCTTGAAAGACTTATCGCAGACAACGCAATACGGTAGTGCTTCTCCATCTTCGTCCTCTACTTCACTACATGTCTCATCATCAGCTAATTGTTGTGTTAGTTCTTCCATATGGGCCCGATGAGCCGCGACAGCGTGTTCATTCTCGTGGAAAGCCGACAGGAGCCTGGTGAAAGTTTATCAGAGGATCGTGAAGGTGTTTGTCAGTTTTAAACCAGAATCGAAGTATAAAGCACTGGATTTGTCTTGAATACGATTTTTGAATAAGACACAAAATGGAATGTCGTAAGTGTCAAAGAATTCAGAGAATGCAGACCTAATCAGGGCAAACGATTATTACAGGGGTCTGATGCCGAGACACATCATTGCGATTATGGGAACTTGTCCATGGAATGACCCTCCTCCACGCTTGCTGCCTTGCATTCGACCCCCCTCCCAAGGACAATGCCAGATCTCACATATCCTTAACTATTTCGTATAGGCTATTTCCTACCCATTCCCCCGCAAACACATCTGTCCGCTCAGTATGGAAAGACCTTAGTGAGGGTGTTCGGTTAGTCGAGAAAGAGAGTGTTCTGCCTCCTTTATAACTGATTTTTGCGAGTTCACGGGCGCCATCTACATCGTTGGGAGAGCTCCTGGGGTCTATCTGTTCATCGTTCGGAGTGGAGTCCCATCTGTTAATCGTTGAAAGGGGGGGGGGGGTCGCAATGTTTTTTCGCTGGAAGGGGCTCGTATTTAGTAAAAACTCCCTGCAGGGACACTATGTGCACTGGGTATAAGTGCAAAAGGAAGATACAAATCTATTGCCATTCAAAATGCGCTCGACCACGTGCATTAACGGTAGACCCCTCTCGGCAAACCGACCCCTCCCAAACAACCCTAATACAACCCTTCTCGATTACTGAACACACGATGTCTGCATGATGGGTGACATACGGCCGCTGCTATTCCCTCCCTCGAAAGACACATCGTTTTGAGCTCAAGCATTACCTGATTTCAGCACATTCAAGGCGAAAGTCAGACGGATAGACAGATCAAGTAGATAGTTGAAAGCCTACTCTAGAAGGACCCTTCATGCTTCATACTGAACGGTTTAGCAAGTCATTGACAAAAGAAGATGTAGAGTTAAGCTTTCGGTAATAAGAAGTCTGTTTTTAGAGCGCCACCTATTACACTTTCCTTCAGATCAGTAGTGGCCTTGACAGTCAACCGAATCGAGAAAGGTATGGAAGTCTTGTCTTCATCCAAACCACATCTATGTCGAGTTGAAACCGATTAGGGACTTGAACTCTAAGCAGTGTGAAAGATATGATAGCGTTCACACTTTGCGTCAGCCTTTTGAGCATTTGCCAGCATTTTGAACGTTTAGAGCGTATGCCAGCGTTTTTAGCGGCTAGGAAAGTATAGATATCGACATAGCGTTCAAAACATAGAACTAGATGGATACCTATAACTTCCTAGCCGCTGTGGCGTACGCTCAGAACGCTGACGCAAAGTGTGGTCGCACTCTAACCTATGTCACTACATCATAACCGCCCTACGACACTGGCAGAGTCATTATCACACCGACACCATAATCAGAACCACTCAAAGAGAACTCAAATCAGACAACTAACTGTTGATTCCGCAGGATCTGCTGCTTGCGGTTTTCTTCCTGCTTCCTTTTGGCCTCTTCTTGCCGCTTTTCTAAGAGTTCCCTATAAGCCTTAACGCGAGGATCACGTTTCCTGACAAATGCAACCAACTCCTGAAACACAGTTGTTGTTGTTGGATTTTTTTTCTTCGATCAACAGCCTAATGAACACATAGATGTGCTGACAATTCTACTAAATCGGGTACTCACCCTAACTTGCTCATTTCGCTCAGCTTTGCCAGCTTCTCGGTACTTCTTGTTCTCGGCTTCAATTTGCCGTAACTCAAATCTGTTATTCGCTTGTCGTACATCATACTTATCCAGCCAAGCAAACGATCGAGCTGTACAAAATGAGCTCCAGAAGCCATAAAAAGGACCCGTCACCTAAAATGCGGATCCTTCTTGTTCTGTCTGGAACACTTGCGAAGAAAAGTGGAAACAGCTCTGTTAACAGTACCGTATCGTAATCAGAGGATGCGTCGCCAAAAGTTGGATAGTGTACAGTAGGATCCTCGATAAAATCATAGTCTTCATGAGCCAAAGTGTCAAAAACGTTTTTGTACACCGAGTAAAAACCCTTAAACAAAACTTCCTGAGGAAAAGGTAAGTTTGCTTTCTACGAAGCCATTGCAAGAAAAGTCAGAAGACCTTTCTCTAATATGATGGGGCATTTTTGGCAGTGCGCGCGAAGCATTTTAAACCACGAAACCATCCCTTTCTTTGAAACAATTTAAGAAAAAATATGCCCATCTAGATTCAATACAACTTTTTCTTGTACGAGTTATTGGTTAATTGATGGATTCCTTTCCTTTAGGTATAGGCAATACTCACATTCAATCCTTCGCGCCATCCAGCACATGAAAAACTTGAAGAAATGACGTAGGATCGAAGACCGCAACATTTGGAAGCTTTTAAGACTTTCTTTGTGCCCAAAGCTTGAACCGCTGTTTGGCTTGACAGGGGCATTTTGCACTTTCGCTAGTTCCTGTTAGTTCACACGTCACAAAATGGTGAAACCTGTAGACTCTAGCCAGGTACAATTGAAGTCCCCCCTATTGCACAGCTTTACAGGAATTTGCGGGTCTTCTCTGCCCCCAGTTGGGATTACTCATGATTTAAAGCATCGATATGCCCCACCGTACTGGAAGAAAGTCAAAGTCAAAAATCAGTTTCAACAGAAAGGAATAGTAAACATTTCACGCGTCGAATGTCCACTTTTTTTTTTTTATAACAACTAGTAGTGAAAAACTGAAAGAGATCCAATGAGTCCTGCTTATACTCGGTACCAAAGCCTAAAAATATCAGTTCTCGAAAGGTCATACTTGTTATTGGATGGAGCAGTGGATTTTCGACGGCGCTAATGTATTTGTGGGAGGAGACAGTCTACGGTGCCTTGGTTTCCCTTCCCCTGACCGAGGCTCAATAATAGGCGACGTTCATACTTTGCGACTGAGGGAATTCGGCGATCTGGGAGACTCGACGATTCGATAGACTGCACTACGAGGAAAGCGAAGGTATTGATCTGGGAGTGGGAAGAATCGGCGATCTGTTTTGGGCTATTGCACGGCGGAGGAATGGATGGGTATCAATCAGGGCGGTCGCGAGCGTTGAGGGGATTCAGCGATGGGGCGTTCGCCCTTGGCGATTTGTGAATTCGGCGATCCAGCGTCGAAACCCACTCCCTCCTTTGGCGTGCAACCGCCCGAAACGCACCAGCCCAAAACACCATATCGCTGCTTCTGTGCAGTCGTTAGATCAAAACCTATGCCTTCCTCGCCGGACAATCTCTCGGATCGCCGCATCTCCTCAGTCGCAAAGTATGAACGCCAATGCAACCTTGAACCTCAGGCGGTCTGTCGCCAAGAAACATTCTCGCAGAGAAGCTATGGTCTCTACTAAGCTCAAGCCTTGGCTCTGAACAGACACACGCGGTAGACTGCCCCTCCCCAATATATCAGCGCCTTTTTAACAAAGAACAATGTAGCAAAGAAAATAATTCAAAATAACGTACCACCCTTTAAAATGCTTTCTCGATGTCTATCATAGAAAGCCTTTTCATGAGGATCACTGAGTACTTCGTAAGCAGATTGTAACAATGCAAAATATTGTGTGCACTCTTCAATCCGGTCAGGATTTTTGTCGGGATGCCATTTTAAAGCTAATTTCCTCAAAATCAACAAATAGCAATAGTGAGTTCAATTGAGTAACATCAGTTTCAAAATCAAACCTGTATGCTTTCTTGATTGTTTCATCATCAGCATCCCTAGGCACTTCTAATACCTCGTAATGGCATTTCATTATCCCTAAAAAGATGTTGATTCAAGCACAGTCATACTTCGCAAAAAGCATAGTAAGAGAAACAGCAACCACCTGTGAAAGTAAGCTTTCAAAATACTTAAATTGAGCTTTCTGAAAAACGAGCGCTACCACCTTGGAACAAACGAGAAAGAGCCCACAAACCACAAATGTTGCACAACTTTCGGAAATACACAGACCACCCGTAAATTGCGGTGTTTCCTCAGCACAGGTCACAGACTTTTGCCATATACAGTCTCTACAATTATGATCAGGTACGTTTTTTTATTGCAACTTGCGTTTTCTCGAAAACCAGTTGGTTTCTGGTTATGATGATTAGCGAGTTTTGCAAAGACTGAGTGTGGGCGAATTTTTCTCTCCAAACCGGTCGCTTGTCTATTACCACTGAGCTGATTGACAGCTTTGTCCAAACAACGAGGAGTTGGTTGCGACTGTACTTCTTC